TTCTGCAGTCATGCATGCAGTCTCGAGAAATATCCTTGAGTTGGAGAAATACTGAAGGCTGCGATGTGCATAGAAAAATCGCTGGGATCAAAAGCTAGGTCGTTGAGCGAATCAAACCAATCGACAAAGTAGTAACCGATAGTGCGGATCGAGCAGCTTGTACAGTCTCATGCATGATTGAGGCTGCTCGGGAAGCGGAAAATCGTTGTGTGCGGCAGACTACTTCGTACGAAACCCAAAGACCTCACGATATTGCTTGTTTGGATACACCCAGGAACAGGAATTATATCTTCAGGTGGACAGTATCTCGCAGCTCATCAATGTAGCAATCGATCTAGACCTCCAAGCGTGTGATCAGAAGCTTGCATTTGATAAACCAGATGAGTGCAAGGTGAATGTTTTGGAAATTGATATTCTGGAATCCAGTTGGAATATTCTTGGTGCACTCGGATACCTGTTTGGGAAGACTGAAACTGTAGCCAAGGTGACGTTGCAGCATGCAAAGAAGTGGACAAAGGACAAGGACTTGTGGCTGCTCGTCGATGAAGCGATACCGGGGTATCAGGATACCACCGACCTTGTAAACCCAATCGCTCGACTGGTCTTCTTCAAACGTATTCTTCGTAATGCAGGCTTTAACACTATCATGCTGGGGACAAACACTCTGGTGATGAATTTCAACAAAGCTTTGCGACAGACCGACAACAGCCGAGGTCGGAACCTAGAGCATTTAGTGTGTATCACCCATCGAGCGCTTCCTCCGATGATTTTACAATCTGAAAAGCAGCATGCTTTGCTCAGGAGTTTGTTTGGGGAGGAGCAGTGCAGCTTGTTTCTCGACAACGTTAACCCATGGCTTTGCAATCAGATGTTGAAGGGCTTCAAGGGCGCCACGGAAGAGATAAAAGACCGCGCAGATTTGTTTCGAGATCTGGCTGGTCCAGTGTTGGCAGAAAGGCGTAAAGAAAAGAAGAATCTCAGCGATGCATCGTTGTATTGTATGTTTCAGATTGCAACGCACGATGCCATTTCCCAGGCACACATCATGCAAGGGTTCGGTCTCTTGAACATCTGGCCACAAGGCGAAGTCCCTGCACGTGGTAGTCCGGGGTCAATCATTGATCTTGATCGGCGTGATGACAAGATTTACATGATGAATACAGATATCCACAACATATCCTGCAGGTTTCCTCCGGCCTGGGCCGATCCCATCACTACAGGGATTTGCGCTGGTGGCGGAAGACCTTTTCGCAATTTAGCATCAGGGCTCGAGGTGTTGAGGAGGATTCACCAAGATACTGTCAAGCCCAGGGAGGATCCCACAGCAGTAGATGCAATGCGTAGAGGCGGGAATGTTCTCGAATCGTTTGGGGCAGTCGTCCTTATGTTGACAAGCTGGGCCAAACCAGAGGACATTCTATCGACTCTCAGCTATCATTGTGGACGAGAAGTGAAGAGCACAGTGACGCAGGTGCTTGCTGCCGTGGATGACAAGGAGGCTGCAGAGCAGTTCCGGCAAGTTTTGACGAGATGTTTGTGTAATCTGATTCCCCTTCGTGACGATGAAAGTAACATACTTGACGGAGAAGTTTTCGGCTACTACATTCGTTGCATGGATAAGCGCGAACGAGACGGATGCTTTTCTGGCCCTGTCTTCGGTCCTGATAGGAGAAGAATGAAGGGTGCAGCAGAGTTCAAGAACTGGAGAGTGTCGGTCAATTCATCTGATCTCAAGTGTTTTGTGGAAAAGCTGTCCAAGAATGGAGAGGACCTCCTTCTCTTCATGGCGCCAGCCTTTGGAGATTTTAAGTACGAGTGGATCTTACCACGATTAGGGGTTTCTGATTGGTTGGTTCTGCATTGGACAATTGATGGGGCGCATCTAGATTGGCGTACTTTCCACCATGTAGTCCAAGACGGTGAGAAAAGATACAGAATTTTGGTGCTTATGGAGGTCGGGTTATCAACGAAACCTTTTTGTGAACCGTCGATGCGCCAAGATCAGATTGATGCCTAGCATGGGTTACATGGGCTGGAGAATCATGTATAACATGGATGCAGACATCAAACACCAGAGCAGGGATGCCGCAGCCTCAGTCACGGTGAAGTTGAGCTAGTGTCAAAAATACTGATCGAGCTGGATAAAGCCCGTTGCGGATACTAAAGGAGACCGTATGACAGACACGTGGCTTTCAGTTTCAATCTTGACAGCTAGCTCCTTATTCATGCAGGCAAAGTGTGACGACCTTGAAACCCCATGTCGATTTTTGAACGAATGAAGATAGCAGACATCGTTGGGAGCACCCATTGACATTCATGATTCCATCTAGGCAGTCTTTGCAGCAGGACAGTCATACTGCTTGACTCAGAAGTCGGACATAGTGTTGCTGATCACAACATGCCGATGGCTGACCTCACTCTGTTTCGATTGACCTGTTCAGCACGTATATTGACAACTTACGTAGAGGAACTGATGATTCCGATCATCAGTAGGCGTCATTTTCAAGTTTCATATTCTGGATAGCAAACTGCTTGAGATTACGAGAGTAAAGCCTGATCTTTCTTTTCAACAGATCAGGAGAGCAGAGAACGAGTCGACGCGATCTTGAAAATCGTATTTCCATATGTGCCAACACTGCGAACGCGTGCCGTGGTTGAAGTTGGGATGGCATCAGTGATATACCACGAACAATTTATTCGAGAGATGATGCCAAGGAATCAACCCTTGTTTCGAACTACTCTTTTGTTGCAACCTGGTTTTGTACAGACCCTCAGGAAGCATGTTACGATAGAAGGTCATGATAAACGGCAAAATGTATATCTCCAGATGTGTGCCGAATCTCTCTCTGTCTCTGTGTCTTTCCCTCTCTCTCTGTCTGTCTCTGTCTGTCTCTGTCTCTGTCTGTGTCTCTGTGTGTCTCTGTCTGTCTATCTGTCTGTCTGTCTGTCTCTCGATCTCTCTTGCTCTCTCTTGCTCTCTCTCTCTCTCTGTCTGCCTCTCTGTCTCGGTCTCTGTCTCTGTCTCTCTGTCTCCCTCCCTCCCTGCATCCATCCCTGCCTCTGTCTCTGTCTCTGTCTCTGTCTCTGTCTCTGTCTCTGTCTCTGTCTCTGTCTCTGTCTCTGTCTCTGTCTCTGTCTCTGTATCTCTCTCTCTCTCAGCTCCTTGCCGCTCTCATTGCTGGGGTTCCTCGCCATGGCGCTAGTTTACAGCCCCATCGCCTCCTCATCAACCTCATCAAGCTTGGTAGCGTCGAGGTTACAGTGACCTGTGCCTTCGGCATCAACAACGATTCCTTTAGCCTTGAGTATCCGTTAGCTCCTCCCTCCCTCCCTCCCTCCCTCCCTGTTTCCCTTGCCCATCCTCCCACCTCTCCTTGCTTGGCATAGGCTATGAGAGATGTCTGCTTCCTGGGCAACCTCAGCACCTGCACAATCAGCATGGCGACGGCGGACGAGTAGACGGCATGACCGAAGACGGAAATGCAACCGAGGAAGAGGCTCTCGTTGCCAGCCTTCCTACTCTCAACGGTCACAAGCAGGGAGTGGAGAGAGGAGGAGGAAGGAGGAAGGCTGGGAGGGGTGGAGGAGAGGATGGGAGGGCGAGGAAGGGGGTTGAAGGAGATGGGGGAAAGGAGGAGATGGAGAGGTCTCTTACCTCCTCCGTTCCATTTCTGCTTCAACTCCCTGCGCAAGCTCTACTACCACTCTCTCCGCGTATGCTCGAAGCGTCTGTGTGCCATGTCAGCAGCTGATCCTTCTCCTCCTGCACCAACTTTGCCATGCCCTGCAGCGATGTAGTCTGCCAGGGACGCGTATCCTGAATAGCAGAAGAAAGAGAGAAAGGGAGGAAGAGGAGATGAGGAGAGTCGGGACGGAGCATGATGAAGATGAAGATGATGATGAAGATGAAGATGATGATGATGATGATGATGATGATGATGATGATGATGATGATGATGATGATGAGGAGGAGGAGGAGGAGGAGGAGGAGGAAACCAGACACAGAACATGTGAGTTGCTGATAGAGCGTTGCTGTGCTCTTTTCTTTTTCAGCAAAGGCCTTTCTCGCCTCCTCCTCCATAGTGCCATCGTAGATTCCAGCCAACACCGTCTACCCCTCAGTCAGCCAATGCACCTCCACGAGGAGATCAGAGGAGGAGGCGGGGAAGGAGAAGGAGGAGAGGGAAGATGAGAAGAGAAAGAAGACGGGGAAGTAGGCGGGGAAGAAGGAGGTGAACAATGAACGATCGGAAGGGAAGGGCCTGAGAGAATGATTGAGTGGAAAAAGAATGTTGAAACTTGGAGTTGATGATCAACAAGAAGAAACATCAGCATGGAAAGGAAGGGGACAGGATGAGGAGGAGAAGGAGGAGAGGGAGGAGGAGGAGGAGAGGGAGGAGGAGGAAGGGTGGGGGGGAGGAGGAGGGGCGTACAGGCTTCGGAGCTCCCATGAGCCATGCTGTCTCCAGTCAGCGGCCTGTCCTTCCCTCATCATCCTCTACCTCACTGCAGGTCCTCGGTCACCTGCAGACGAGGAGAAGGAGATGCCGTGCGGAGCACGGGAGGCTGCGCAGAGGGTTGAGAACCACCTCCTACTTCCTTGTCAGCGCTCCCATCCCACGACATGAAGCAGAGAAAGAGATAGGGTGTGATTTGGACGAGGAGAAGGAGGAGGAGGAGGAGGAGGAGGGAAGAGTTAGGAGAGGAAAGAGAAAAGATTGGACACGAATCGAGGATGGGAAGGAGACGAGGAGATGAAAGAGGGGGGTGGGGAGGTGGGGGCGGGAAGGAGGAGATGGAACGATGGAACGATACCTCGAGGAGGAAGCCTTGATCCTGCCCTCCGCCGTCAGGATGCGAGCTAGATCTTCCTCTGGGGAATTCCCTTGCGGTTGGTCGGTCTGCAGAGCATGATGGGTCAAGGAGAGGAGAAAGGAAGAAGAGGATGGAAGGAGGAAGAGGAGCGAGGAGAAATGGGAGAGAGGAGGGAAAGGAGGAGACGGTAGTTCCGAGCAGCAGCTGCAGCTGCTGCAGCTGCACGCTAGGAGAATATAGTGAAAAGAAGAGAGAAAAGGAGGAGGAGGAGGAGGAGGAGGAGGAGGTGGAGGAGGAGG